ACTGTTGAAAGAACAGGATTCGGAGTAGGTCCAGATTTTTGCAAATTGGACTCTCTTGATTTGAGTATTTTGGGTTGGGGTAGAATGTTCAGATAGCCCATTTCCGTCGAACACAAAGCCGTGTGACTTGTATGCGTTTTGCAAACAAAGACCAAATATGTTACGTTGCTTTGTGGTTTAAATATACCTGTAATGACATATTTCATCTTCATCTATTTTATCTTCTCTCCATCAAAAGTTATCAGCAATGATAAAATTCTTGAAAATAGGGTTCAAACTAGGAGGTCAAGGTCACTGGATAAAATATCATAGCACATTCGGAAACGTCCTGTCACAGTTAATGCACTTGTCAAAAGTTATCACCAATGTTAATTTTTTGAAAATTAGGTAAAATTTCAAGGTCAAGTTCACAGGGTAAAAAATCATAGCATATTTGGAAAGGTCTTGTCACAGGTAATGTACATATGAAATATGAAAGCCCTAGCTTTTCTCAATCAAAAGTTATGACCAAGGATAAAGTTTTTGTGACTGACTGACGGACAGACTGACCGATGAATGAGATTTAATGTCCCCTAGCTTTCGCGAAGGCGGGGTACAACTATCAATTTTCTCATTTTTGTATACAATAGATTGCCTTCTGATCAAGGACACACTAAAAAATATAACAAAATGAGGAAGAAATTATTCAAAATTAGTGATAATTTTTAATCTCTGATTTTACCCCTTATATAATGCATTGAACAAAAATCTGTCATATGAAACAACATGGTCAGTGTACAATTTGCAAAACGTACACCATTTCTCTTCAAACAAGCACTTGAAAATTATTTATTCAAATATTATATACAACGTATTAAGGAGTGAAATTCACAACTTGTATTACATTCTGACGAAAGGGTAGGTTGCCATTGCTCTTTTTTCAACAAATTTTGATTTTGTATTTACTGCCACCCGGTAAATTCAAAATTTACAACATGACATATCGACGATGCACTATCAATTATTTTACTTATTTTAACCATGTTTTATTTACTAACTAAAGTAAAACTGATGTCACAAATCTACTAAATAGTTGAAACAAAGACACCAATCGCATGTGTGTTTTTATGATTTGTAACCTTGTTCACAACTTTTCAAATTATGTACAACATTAATGTTTCATAATTTGGTTTGCAAAAATCAAATGAATATAAGGAAATGTAACGATTCTACACGTTACACGTCATTAAAATCTCAACATGGGTCTGAACATCACAGCATCGTGCATATGACCACATGAAAAGTTCCTATTGTAGTTTTAATGGATAATTGGCAAAAAATATAATAGAGAGGTTAATTACTTTAATTTGTACTCGAAGGTGTACATATACTTTGTTATACATGTACACGATTTTTGTAATTTATATCATTACAAAAATCGTGTACATGTATAACAAAGTATATGTACACGTTCGAGTACAAATTAAAGTAATTAACCTCTCTATTATATTTTTGCCAATTATCCATTAAAACTACAATAGGAACTTTTCATGTGGTTATATGCACGATGCTATGATGTTCAGACCCATGTGAAAAACAAATAAAACTTCCAACACAGATAATCCTGAAACTACAAGGTAGGTATTCCATTACATAGAAAAGGAATATTGCAAACTTTAAGGAAAAAAATACATGCTATCATACATTAATATTGTTATGTATGTTTACATTTCTACACAAAAAACCCAAACCAACCTTTTGAATGTATGTCTTCAAATGTAACGCTTTACGAAATCCTACATCTACTCATGACTTTAAAGGTGCTTGGACACAGATTTGAAGTTAATATTTTTTCAAATTTTCTGTAAAATTTCCTGACTTATATGTTGCTATAGCATTTCATACTAAAATATAATAAAAATCTTATTTCATCTCGTAGTTATTGAAACTTCAAATTTCTGAATGCGTTTGACTGACACATCCTTGCACTTTCACAATATTTAGTTTTATTCTTAATACTTAAGAAAAGTGGCAATTTTGTTGTGTATTAATGAAAAATATTAAAACTATAATCCAGAAAATTCAGAGTAGAAATGTTCGAAAGCAAAACCCACTCACAGTATTGTCAGTCCGTGCTCAGTGGTGTGTGCAGACTTTAACAATTGAACACACCCGGTGAATCGTAAACATTAACAATAACAGAGCTCGTGCCCTGTTTACAAAAACAGTTTACGTTTCACGGGTGTATTCAATTTGTTAAACTCTGTACACAACACTGAGCACGGGCTGACGATATTAGTGAGGGGGTTTGCTTTCGCACATTTCTACTCTGAATTTTCTGGATTATAGATGTAATGTTTTTCATTAATACACAACAAAATCGCTTCTTTTCTTGAATGTTAGGGATAAAGATAAAATTTGTGAAAGTGCAAGGATGTGTAAATCAAACGCGTCCAGGAATTCGTAGTTCCAATAATTTCCAGATAAAATAAGTTTTTAATTATATTTTCGTGTGAAATGCTATTGCAATATATAAGTCGTGATATTATGCAGAAAATTTGAGAAAATATAAACTTCAAATCTGTGTCTAAGCACCTTTAATTGCTAACTACATTATATCCTCGGCTACTTACATGTTAGACACTTTGTCATCCATAATTTGATTATTTCTTTTAAAATTTTACAAAGATATCAAAATTCCTGCAAACCTTTTTCTTAATCGTAAAGCTCTAAAAAAAAAATCATAAACGAATTGATAAATCTCTGAGTAAAAGTACGTAGAGCTTAAGTGTCATGATATAGAATTATAAACAAATGTGTAGATTTAAAGAGTTTTCTTCTAAATATCCTTCCACTACAAGAAATTAGTCCCCCATATATCCTTCTTCTTTATAATTTTGTGAGCAGTGTTGAATATTGTAACATTTTGCATTGATTAATTCAAATATGATAAAAAAAATTGAATTGTAATTGATAACCTTGTCATCAGTGGTTATGGGAAATGGAGGTTTTTAAGAGCAAAACCACTGTTTACGATATATCTATACTTACCTGCATCAACTTTTTGCATTTCCCCCGGGCTGCCTACGATTTTGCCTGAACTTTTGAGACCACCCCTGTGGTATCATACATAGTATGTATACCCATAATGCGCAAGCACTTCCGCTTCATTTTTGTGAGGACCTAGAGAACTAGGACCCAAAGAAATAACTTACAAGGGGTGGGTGATGCAGGTAAGTATAGATATATCGTAAACAAAGGTTTTACCCTTAAAATCCTCCAGTTTACATCAATATCTATACTTACCTGCATCAACTTTTTGCAGAATTTGCAGCAGAATTAGGGCGTGATAATGATAAGTTGATTTACTATCTAGTACATAATAGTAAAAATAAAGATTGCACTCACCATTAAAGGTGTACTCTATTTCTGTTCTTTTCCCTTTGCCCATCTTGAAGTGTCAAGGACTGAAGACTTGGCAAACCGAGCTTCATCTTGAGGAACATCCCTCATGTAAAATGCAGTAAAAGTGGTTTCTGTTTCCCAATGAACTGTCTGTAAAATTTCTTCTACTGTTGCTCCATTGAAAAGGGCCCATGAAGTTGCCAGTCGTCTGGTGTCATGTGCACGTACGCTACTTAAAGTTTCACTATTCTGTTCATACACAAATTTGACGAGATACAATCCATCTTGATACAGAATTTTTGGAAGCTGGATTTTGTAGACCTGATTTGTAAGTTAAAAACAAACACTTTTCCATACCACGAGAAGACTTTGTTCTTTCCAGATATATTCTTAATGCTCTGCAAGGGCACAAAAACAAGTCTTTGCTGTCTGTTGCAAAGGTGTTAAACTCTGGTATGAACATACGTTTCCATGGCTTCCCTAATCTTTGAGTTTTAGCCAAAACCTGTATATTTGGTAAAAGTCGAATTCCGTTCATTTCTAAACGCAAATGTGTCTCTCCAATAGAGAGAGCATGAATTTCGCTCACTCTAGAAGCTGTTGACAATGCTACTAGAATCACTGTTTTCCAAGTAAGAAACTTCATATCACAGGAATTCATTGGTTCAAAAGGGTAATCACACAATTTCCATAGCACTGATGGTAGATCCCAATTTGGAAGTAATGGTCGCACATTTGGTTCAGAATGATAAATTCCTTTAATTTTGATATATCAGTAGTGTTACTGACTGAACTGTTACTCCAACCCTTGTGAATAGATGCTATAGCTGATCTATAACCTGTAATCGTGTTTGGCTTACAACTGCGTTCTTCATGCAAGTAGATGAAAAAGTCTGCCAAATCAGCTACAGTGGCCTCAAAAGGATCTTTCTGGTTTGTGGTACACCATTCTCTGTAGATTCGTAGTCTAGCATCATACATTTTTCTTGTTGATTGTCTCCGAGAGTTGGAGATGAACGACTTAGCTTTTTCAGAAAATTGATTCGCAATACTTTGTCTTTTGAAATTTTCCAAACGGTCAAATGTAGACTTTCTGGACTTGGATGAATGAACTGTCCCCTCTTTTGTGTTAACAAGTTTCTTATTATGGGTAGTTCCCTTGGAAAGTCTATAAGCAGATTCAGTAGGTCTGTAAACCACGACGGTCTTGCATGGTGAGAACGGAGCTATGAGAAGAAGAAAACAAGGCTCCTGCTCTACTTTTTAGTACTTTTGGAATTAGCATTGGTGATGGGAATGCATATGCAAACATCCCTATCCAATCTACAGCTAGAGCATCGCATCCCCATGCTAGAGGATCTGGGAAGGGAGAACAAAAAACTGTTAGTTTCCGATTTTCCCTTGTCGCAAAGAGATCTATGTTTGGAGTGGAGAATATGTGAAAATCTGTTGAACCAATTCCTGATTGAGACTCCATTCTGTCATTTTTGGAATTTGTCGTCCTCTGGACAACTGGTCTGCTATCACATTCCTTTTCCCAGGAATGTGTGCAGCACGAAGTTGTACACCCCAAAGGCGACACCAATGCAGAATCCTCCATGTCAGCATACAAAGGACTAGAGAGATTTTGTTCCTCCCTGGCGATTGACGTAGGATACCACTGTTAAGTTGTCTGACCTCAAAAGGATCTGTTTGTGTTTGACATTGTTTTTGAAGTGGTGAAGGGCTTTTTCCACTGCACTGAGTTCCAACAGATTTATGTGTGATAGTTGTTCCTCCACTGACCATTTGCCAGACACATTGCGATCTTCTAGGTGGGCTCCCCAACCGTAAGATGAAGCATCTGTACACAATGTTAGATCTGCCCTGAAACTCAGGATAGATGTCCCCGCAAGGACGTTCCCTTGCTCTGTCCACCAAAGTAGATGTGGAATGAGGTAGTCGTTGACTTGAATCATGTGATCCAGATTGTCCAAATGTGGACGCCACTGGGGCAATAGGCAGAATTGAATTGTAGTATGGCAAAAGGTACCAAGTCTATGCAGGCTGTCATAAGCCCAAGGACTCTGAGAAATGTATGTACTGGGATAAAAGAAGCTGTAACCATGGTTGAAATTACTCCACAAAGACTGTGGAAGCGGTCCAAACGGGTAGACCAAACCACGTTCGAGAAGAAATAGAGCTCCCAGATAAGTAATCTGTTGAGTTGGTTGAGTATTGATTTTGATTGATTTATCACCAGATCCAAATCCATCAACAGCAACAGAGTTCTCTGTAGTTGGTGCATTTATGTCATTCGATCTGCATTTTTCAGAAGCCAATCGTCCAAGTACATGTAAATGAAAATCTGTTGACTTCTCAGATGCGCTCCTATAGCTCCCATTAGTTTTGTGAACACTCTTGGAGCTGTTGTTAGACTGAACGGCATTGACCTGAATTGATAATGGTTGTTGTCTATGCAAAATCTGAGGTATTTTTTGTCCTTTAGATAAGTTTGAACATGTAGATATGCATCCTTTAGGTCTATTGATGCAACCCAATCTCCTATATTCAAAGCCTGTATTATTGACTTTAGAGATTGCATTTTGAAATGCTGATTCTGGAGAAAAACATTTAACGATTTCAAATTGAGACCTGGACGGTACCGTCCGCCTCGTTTTGGAACTACAAAAAAGGTGCTGTAAAACCCGTGACCTTCCTGGGCTCTGGGAACAGTCTCTATGGCTTGCTTTTCTAATAAACTTTCTATTTCTTCTAAAATACATTGTTTTTGAGCAACATTTTCTACATTTGTGATTCTTACTCCTGTCTCTGGAGGATGTTTTAAGAATACAAGCTTGAGTCCTTCCTGGACTATTTTTAAAACCCATTCGTCGGATGTAATTTTCATCCACTCCCTGTGGTAAGAAAGGATCCAACAACCTACTTGGGCTGATTTCTGCAACTGTAGGCGAGTCTCTAGTTGAACTTTTAAGCTTACTTCTGGGACGAAACCCCAAGCGATCTTGGACCGAGGTACGAGTTTCGCCTTTGAAAGAGACCCGAGAATTCAACTTTCGCCCTTTTCCCAGACCAGTCTTTGCATTTTTGTCAAAGGAAAACTTCCCCTTCTTTGCAATGGCTGATTGCTGATCTTTCTGCTCTTAAGCGCCAGCTGAATCTTCCCTTTCCTCTTTCTTGCAGAATTAGGGTTTGAACCATCTCTCTGCTTTGAACTTCTCAAGTGTTGCATTTCTTTAGCATCCCGTAAACTTTCTGCACTTGAGTGAAGAATGCCAAAATACTTCCCACACAAAAGTTTAGGATTAAGAGTAGACTGTACAAGGAGCTTATTTTCAGTTGCCTTGTTTTTAAAAGCCAGATCTTCTATGTGAATGGCTCTTCGTGCCGCAACTGCACCCACTAAGATACGTGAAGTAACATCAGCCATTGACTTAAAAACTACCATCAGTGCCTGAAGGGCCTCCGTCTTGTCCTCATCAGATACTACATTATCCACATATGAGGTAATAGGATAAGCATATGTCAACTCTCTCAGAAGACGCGACTCTTGATCAATCTTCCACAACTCATTGTTACGAGAATGCAATGTAGGATTACGGAAACGGTAAGAATTTTTATTACCTTTCTGTGAGAAACTACTATCCTCAATGTTGTCATCAAGTCGTGGCGTTGTACAATACTTATCAAAATCTGCAGATGTTACTCTGTACTTCTCATCATCTGATGCTTTATAAGTGCGTATTGCAAATTTACGCTGGAACTCCTCATCTACATCAGTTAAAGTGTTCAAAATGTACCCATCCAGGGGTAAAAATTGCTGTGGGATAGATGTTTTTGTCCCTATCAAGCGTTCTGATATATAGGACTTGAAATCTCGATCCTGATTTTCAGAAGCATTCACAGCATCTACTTTTAATTCCGAAGTTACCTTCTTAAAAAAATTCTTCCAGTCTACTGTGCATGAATCATTAGTTTCTGTATGCACAGAACTTGCAACAGAGTTATCAAACTCAGAATGGTTGTCCTCATCATGGACTTCAACAACATCGTCATTTAGTGAATTGTTCATAACATGATCATTGTCACCTCTGTGACTTACAAGATCCTCATCATCCGAATCTCTCGAGTGTTGATCATCTGAAGGTCGAAATCTATCGAACCTTGTAGACCTACTCTCTGAACGTGTAGTAGACGGTTTTTCAGACTGTTTACTTGCGCCATGTACTAATTCTTTAACTCTGGCGTCTATCAAATTTCGCATGAAATTTTCTTGATACTGTTGCCACTGAGTTTCAAAATTCCCCAGCATAAAAGGGGGTAAATTACCCATTTGTGGTGGAAAAAAAACCTTTGCCAAATTGCCGCCATTTCGTCTCCCATCCGAGAGTGGTTGCGATTCTGATACAACTATGTTTCCCACAGAGGAAACTTGTGAATCAGAACAAGTGTTATTCCCCACAAAGAGAATTTCTGTTGCTGGATTCGACACTTTGGCCGATTTCTTACCAGATTTGGATTTCTTGCGTTCAATCATTTTATTCATTAACGTCCGTTTTTCCTCTGTCCAAGTTTTACAAACTTCACAAGGAAACACTTCGTTACACACGCGATGTCTATAACATTCCGCGTGATCGTCTAATACTGTCATCTCTCTATTGCATTTCTGACGTATTTTGTACGATTCATACATCGTAAATCGCAGGCTACTAAAATAACTTAATCACAGAAGTAAACACACGGTTTTTCTTCCAAGATGCCCGAACAAAACTGAAGCGTAAGTGCTTGCGCATTATGGGTATACACATAGTGTATGATACCACAGGGGTGGTCTCAAAAGTTCAGGCAAGATCGTAGGCTGCCCGGGGGAAATGCAAAATGTTGATGCAGGTAAGTATAGATATTGATGTAAACTATTTCTTGAAAACTGATGAGTATAGTTGGTAAAACATTCAAATATGAAACAGACAAGGCAAACTCTATAGTGCCTTTAATTTCGAATAGTGTCTTTAATTTCGAGTTCGGTGGTTTCATGTTTCGACATATGTGAAAATTAATAAGAAACGTAAATCATCCTCACCATTCTTTAAGTTAGAGTTGAATTAGATAGTATTACATTATCTCACAAAATGAATTATACTGCTATCTTCATTATTAATATGAAATTATTTACAATTATTTGAAAAAAACGCTATATCAATAGTGTCAGGAAATAATGTCTTTTCTTAAAAATAAAACATGTTTAAAATGTATGCACAATTGATCATATTATCACAGCCTTATACATGTACATGTATGACAAATTGTCAGCAGATGTGCAGTGATTAGATATATGATATTTTTTGATAGCTTGTACTTTTTGATAATTTGTATCAATTTTCCCTGAAATATGGAACGTTCAAAATGATTCAACTTATTCGAAAACTAAAAATGGATTTTGACGTTTATTAAAAAAAAAACAATTTAACACATTGATGACATTTATAGCTGCAAAATAAAGGTGAACAATCTCCTATTATACATGAATGTATGTCAAAATACATAACATTAGATAACATGTGATGTAAACTATCTTTGGACCTCTGTACTAGCACTGTCTGTATTCATTGTATATTCCTTCCTGATTTAATTTTTTTTAATGTTCTATTTAATGAATGATACCAAATCCTTCAAAATTAACAGAAAGTTGCTACAGAAACAGGAAGTTGTCTTCCTATCTGAAATTGTAATTGCAGTTGCTTTATTGTCAACTAGGCGCGTGTATTCTTTATGGGTTAAGGTTGCTTTCATGGACTTTAAAACGACAGACTTAATCTAGCTTGCTGTTATCTTTCCTGCATGATCTTGAAAGATGACGTGTAACGTCACCAGAAAACCCAGCACGTGATAAATAATGTAGACGTATTAGTTTCGATATTCTATTCTCTGAGCCACTTTTCTACAATGTAGTTGCAAGAAGCAGATGTACTTGAATATCGCGGTTGCAAGAAACACATCATTATCATTCAATGATTGAGTTTTAGGATCATGAGTGGAGGGTATACTTTAAACCAAATCCGAGATGATATTAGCAAGTGCTGTGTGGTTGTGGAGGGATTTCCTCCTGGAACAGAAAAACAGAGCTTTGCACATATTTTTCAGCATAAACGGGCAAAGCAAGTCGAAGATGGCTTAAAATGGCTTATCATGTTGCAAGGTCCAGAAAGTAAGTGAAAAGTAACATTTAAGAAATTTAATAAATTCCATATACTGATCTTGTTGAAAGATGTACAAAGTAAATAAAAGAAACATTTTATTATTTTTATGAAATGCTATATTGAAGACGAATACTCATGTAAAATTTATAAAAAAGGCATCTTGAAGACATGTCCAATTTCAAAATTATCTAAATTTTTGAGGTGTTCACAGCTTGGCATTCTAGCTACTTCGCTGGTCCACAGAACCAGTAACCATGAAGGCAAATTTACATGTGTTCATATTTGCTTAACATACCATATAATATTCCAACAGCGTTGGAGTTGAGAGTTCTTGTGGAAAAAGCTTAAAAATCGCCACTAGGCATAAAGATAGCCACTTTCAAACAATTTCTTATGATTTGTAAACCATCCCGTTTTCTTCTTTTGTTTTTTATCTGAGCTGTTATTACTGTGGTTCTTAGTCTTTTACCTACCGACACAACGGGCAGACTATTTTTTTTTGTTTGTTGACACTCCTGAATATTTGTCGGTCACAAACAGACAGACAGGTTTTCAGGGGGACCAATTCTCAGATAAGAGAGATAACTTTCCAAGTTAAAAAAAAAAACCCTCTGATATTACTCACAGTTTACATGTACTTTGTCAGAGTTTAATTATCGAGACCTTTGAGTAGTGAATTCGATAAAACCTATCACATAATGGAAACATTACTTTCTATTTCTTTTGTCTATATTTTTCAGATTGTTTTATTATATTTGACCCCCCCCCCCCCAAAAAAAAATTAAATCCATTTTTAAAAACTCTACAAATTAATAGCGATTCTCTGTAACCACTTAAACTTCTTTGCCACGCATGGTCACCGATTTTGATGAAACTTTGCCCCTTATTACAACTTGACACCAAAAACATATATCAAATAAAATTTCGTTGCTAGGTGTCTTGGTTGCCATGGTAACAGCCAGAAAAGTTGAAAAAATTGAATTTTTCAGCTACTTTGAATCTTTATTAAGCCTTAATAAAGACTAAGAAAATCAAACAAACTATTCTCACAAAAACATGACACCTTGTTGCCACTTATGCTATAAACAAACTATTTAGAATTTATCTCTAAGTAAGTGGTAACCATGGGTACATTTGGAATACATTTTAGATGCTGAAAAATGCTGAAAACCGCTCAATATTCACTAATGATAGATGTTACATGATCAAACTCAATCAACAACCAAAGAAAAACAATAAAAATATTTGACCTTAAGTAATTAGATATTGGCAATATTATTCTAAAAATAACTTTCATGGTTGCCATGGTAACACAGTGTAACCATGCAAAATCTGTTGCTAAGATATGGTTAATGCTACTATCTTGAGGAAAAACAATAAACTTCATGACTGGCACATATACATCCTTAGGACCTTGCAACACCAACAACATAAGAAATATTGGGATTAATTGTTACTTTGAAGTGTAACCATGGAAACAACGTACCAGTTGTTTAAAGTGATATTTTTTTGCTGCTTTAGGAATTTACTTAGCTTTTAATCAAGAAACATATTATTTGACTCACCTTGAACAGTACTTATCTGGTAGAACTAAAGTTGAATATCATATATTGATAAAGTTTGTTGAAAATACAACACTGTTGCTATGGTTACCAAGAAGGGAAAATGTTCGATTTTGTTAATTTTATATCAATCTTAAATCCTATGTGCCAGCTTTTTGCATTCAGTTAGAGATTGGGTGGTAGTCAAAATTGAAAGTCGGGTTAGTTGTTCATATATATTAATCATAAAAGTTTTGGGAATCTACATACAAGGGTACGTATCCAAGGAAACAAAATATTTTTCAGATTTTTATGCATATTTTTTCGGCTAATTTCCATAGCAACGCTCAATTTAAAGAATTGAATTTGAATTTTTTGAAATGTGAAAATTAGGGTCACCCCAGCGCCTTTAAAAATTGATCATCAGTTATATAGAAATATGCTTTTTATAAAAATAGGATAAGACTAAAACACTAAAAAAGTAAATTTAAAATAACTTTGTGGTATTAAAACCATGGCAACCATTGCCAACCTATAAAAATATTATATTTCGTCCTTGGTATATGTTACAAGGATCTCTTGTCTATTATTTGCTTGCATTTCAACCTATAATTGTTTTTATTCTTAAGTGTATGACTTTATAAAATTAAATGAACAAAATTATTACTTTTGAATAATTTGTTTCCATAGTAACGTATGTAATAGTTGATTTACCAAACATGTTTATCATGCATTTAAGACATAAGGCCTTCAACTTTCAGAAACAGTCATTGCCACTTGTTTGCTTTGCTGCAAACGTTAACTGTGGGACTCTGAACATGTTGAAAAAAAAAATTTCAAACTTTAGGACATGTTGCTATGGTAACCATGACACGTAGCAACCAATTTTTGCCTGATTTGAGTTTACGGTATCAAAGACTTTTATCATAGAGAGTTTGGAGAAATTCTGAGACTATGTGTGCCACAGCTCCTATATAAAAGTTAAAGTCATTACAGAGAATGGCTCTTAAGTTCTATCTTTTTAAGACCTTTTTAAAAATGGTTTAATGTATCAAGACTGAAGTACCAAATATAGAATTTTTATTAGTATTAGATTTTTCTCCAATGAAGAAATATTTATAAGAAAACTCTTACTAACAGTTGTATCATTTTCGTACAACCACATATAACATTGTGATACTCTGACTTAGAGAGCAGCGCTTTATTATGTTTTCTAATATGAATTTAATAGGTATGACACTAAATATTATTTTCATATACACCTCATATTTTTAATTTTATGTTGTGATGATAAATTATTACTCTTCCTATTCTCTGTGTTAAAATTTCTTCATATTATGGACGGACTTTAAAATCATCTATATATATATATATATATAAAAAAAAAAAAAAACAACCTCATATTATTTTTCGGTTGAATCTGATGCTATAGCTTTTGATGAGAATCAACTATGGGAAGTTTAAAAGAAATGCGAAAGAGAGCAGAGGATTATTATTCCTTATGTCCAACCTTGATTATATAGCGTACCGGTATTTGATGGCAGGATACAAAATTGCAGTAAACTATTGAATTCCACGAAAGTAATACCAGATAACTTCCAAAACCAAATGCCTCAAATGACCTTTTTAAATAAAAGTTTTATATTTCCCTAATATCAATTCTTGCTTGGAATAATTATAAAAAGCTGGAAAACGTATCAGAAACCAACCTAGGAAATCACATGCCGTGCATTCAGTACAACAAATAATTGAAGAAGGGTGGAAATACCGAAAAAAAAAAGAAACCTCGCCCTTCTATTACTTACTGTCGGTAGAGGCTAAATGGGACACCGCCTGGGTAGCGCCTCAATTAGATCTACGATAAAGAAAATAGTGTAGATATTCCTCTGGTCAAAAACACATAAAAATAAAAC